TTCAGAAGGTAAACTTCCAAAACAATGAAATATGTATGCTATAGGCTGGTAATAGTCAGGAAGGGATTTGAAATGGAACGACAAGGCCCCTTGTTATCACAATTGATAAAAACACATCCCTATAATTAAGTTAAGAATTTTAGTATTTGTGAAAACAAGACTCTAACTGGAACTCAATCCAGTTTGTGAAGTCATGGACAAATCAGCCACGAAGTGAGCACAGAGAGGAGCTAAAGGTGTTAACCACACATGAGCAAGAACGAACCTTGAGCGGCAGTGACAGGGTTAAGTTCTGTAAAAACAAAGTCAAAGGTTTGATCGCTGTGACAGATACATGTATTTTTGAGGTATGTGCAGCATCCTTTTAGTGCTCTGCCGTTTTAAGGAATATGCTTATTTGCTTTCTAGATAAGACAGCATTGATACCAGTCTGCAAGGTGGATATGTAGTTGTAACAAGCAGCCTTTTATCTTAGCTTAATATATAGACTGGAAACGTGGAAACAACTTTCTTGGCTCTGTCCAAAGGTAACGAAATCCACTTTCCAACAACCCCAAATTCCCACAAAAACCAAAGTGTAAAAATGACGGTTTGCTCTTTGACAGGCTGTTTCTTGGCCAGGCAGCCAGTAGAAACTGCCAGTACAGAAATAGTCCAGCACATAACCCCATGTAAAATGGCAAATTTCAGGTTTTGCTTTTTGGTTTTTATACATATTACACAAACCAAGATCCAGGGTAGCTGTTTCCCCCTGTCTAAAGTCTTTATGCTAAGCTAACTGGTTGCTGTCTGTAGTATGTGTATATGAGACATGAAATGTCTAACTTGCAGCAAGATGGTAAATATTTCACAAAAGGCCATGCATGCATTTTTGTTCAGTGTGGGTCAGGGTTTTTACACAGCAGAAAACCAATCCCTCCACTTAAAAGTGCAGTTTTTACTTTAGTGGGTGTTGATACTGCAGGTTTCTGAGTTGTGGTATGTGTGTCTAAAGGAGGTTAACTATGCATCTCTGTTTTCTAGAGACAAAGCAGCATCTGAATACCCTCTAACTTAACCCCATTGCTCAGTGTTGACCTCAGCCCTTGTTTGGTGATTCATTATCCCTCCCACATCACCTGTCACACTTGCAGCGGCGCAGACACGTGCATGCATGAAGCGCTGCAGCTACCCAGCTCTCAGCCATGAGTGGAGATAAGGGAAATAGCACAGCTAGCACATCCAGCACTATTTGCTCACATCTCTCTCAAACAAAGAGCTAAACCTGCCTCTGATAACACAGTTACAAAGTGTGCCAGCCGCCACATTCTCTTGCTCAACCTCGAGGGTTAAAGGTAAATGGCGATTCTGTTGTGCAGGAAGTAATGAATGAGCCACAAGCATGATCTGTGTCGCTGCACCTTTTCCATATAGGAAAGATATCTGCTGTACAATGTGATGCAATAATGGAAGTTTTTTTTGCCAGATATCAAAGAGCAGGTGACCCCATCCTGCTGCTACCCTCAGATCTGCTGCTGTAGGTTCAGAAACCCACTTCCTGGTACTTCATGTCAAGGTGCTTCTATTCACAAACCACACAAACAGGAAACAGCCCTCTTTCAAGTCCTTCAAACTGCATGTAATTTAAGTTGTTCTGAAAGGCTGCAGTAAGAAAGAAGGAGGTGCACATGAGTGACACTCACCTGGAGACCTGGTGAGACCTATGCATGAACAAATATTTAGTCATTCTGTTTGTTAAAAGTCACTTAGAGACAGATTTTGGGGGGTCAGCTAGCTCTTTGTTAGATTTGTTATGAACAATTTGTCATAAATCCTAACAGACTAATTTGGCCTTGTGTGGGGTGTTACTGGTTACAGCAGTAACAGATACAGAGAAAATAAAAGCCAACACACCCCATATGGAAGTGTCTAATGCTTGAAACAGTTCAAAATCATGTTTTTAAGGAGATATTAGGAAGTTCAGAAAGTTTTCCCTAAGCGTGGTGGTTTTGGCTCTAGTGACACTTCAACCATAGCAATAAGGCCAGTTTGGTATCTGCACTACTACCCAGAATTGGTCATTTCTTTGTCAGTAGCATTCAAAATGACATATCCTATTATGATTTTAAAATGTGACTCCTTAAGAGTACATTTGTATAACCAGTTCTTGCATTATGACTTCTGCTTCCAAGTTTGTTGCGGATCACTGCTTTGAAATCCCATGATTTTTGACTGATCACTCATCAGTTTTGGTTTGTTGTCCACATGTTTTAACTTTCACTGCTTTTAAAAAATGCGTGACACAGAATGAAACAGTATGAATTAGTGAGTAATCATGTCTGAACTAGTCATAAATGCCTATGGATATCAAAAACAGTTTGCTGGCTGTCTCCCTCTAACTTATTGGCAGCGAGCTCCAGGGCCAGGTTCCCTTGAATAAAGCAACAAAGGAGCCTCCACAGGTCGGCACCCACCATTGTACAGAGGGAAAGGTGTTCCTGTTCCGGCTTCTTTTTGGAATCTGAGATAATATAAACATAGACAGACGAAAAGCATCCAGAGAGCGAGAAAAAGCAGAAGCTGTGTGGATGTTGGGTGGACTGTATGAAGGGGAAGCTACAGTATGTTGCTATGAAAAACACCACTCTGCTTGTATTAATGGTCAGATCTAGATTGTTCAACTTTATTTAGTTTCTGTTAAAAACAGACACAACATGTGATAGTACATTATGTATTTTGAATTCAGTTTGTCCTATTCTTTACATGATCACTGATCAGGTTGTACTGTAACCTCAGCAAATTTTGTTATTCCTGGAAAGGCTACAGACCCCTGATCAATATTTCAGTTGAAACCAAGATTGTTGTGTATTTGTATAACCAAACCTTTTCAAGAGTTTGATCATCCCCAGGTCACTACCCCCCTGACAGATCTCTGTGCAGCACACCAATCAACTTCCACTACAGTGAAACTCCCTTTAGTTCAGCATCATACACCATTTCCCTTTTTGGTTTTACTTTTAAATAGAACATATTGTCCCTTTATATAAAGCCTGGGTTTTCAAATTATGCTGCTATAGTGCCAGTTAGGTTCTGTAGACCGACTTGAGCCCTGATCTTTCTCCTGTGTTCATTTACATATTGACAAAGTGGTTTTATTAAAAAAATAAAATATTTCAAATGAGTTATTAGAGGTTATTTGCAGTTTACCCATGGAAGTGCCACTATAAATTACTTTTATACTGAAGAAAATGCAACATTTAATGCAAATTCTGAAATTAAAAGTGCTGCTTTTCTCTAGTTTAAAAAAAAACATTGACACCTCTTTCCAAAACAAATTCCCTAAAGTATCATGTAAATATTAAAATAGCCATTTTCTTCAATTCTGTCCAAAATAAAATAAATTAAGAAACTCAATTGTCAAAATATTAAACTTTTAAATAGGCATTAGAGAGGTCTTCATTGCACAGATTTAAAGGGGCATAGTTGCACTTTAAGCCCAATATTTAATATGTTCCACAATCATGAGTCAAATGTGTTACTAACCTGATGGCTGCAGCTTCTTGAGTCTATAATTCCGATTTCCCATAAACCTTGTACACAAGTCATTACACGTTTTAACTTTTCCAAAAATATGGGGTTTATTGATGTAACTGCAATCAATACTTACAAAGAGGAGGGAAAATAACAGGCTTTCATATAAACTCAAATTACTGTAGTGAAAAAAACCATGTCTGAATAAAAAAAAAAAAATACATTCAACTGTTTTACTGTTCACCTCTTCTAAACACATGAAGGCAACACGGAACGAGGGACTTCTTTGTCCTCGATTATCAAATATAAAAAAGGCAGAGAAGCCTTAGCTGGAATGTATTCAGTGAGGCACTTCTAATGGTCAAAGGGGGCCAAGCAAGTGCATCAAGCATCCAATCAAATTAAAACAAAGTTAAACCTTCCTCAACCCATTTAGTCACAGCTACTGCTTGTGATAAACAGACTGGGTTGTATGAACATTATGTCAATATAACCAGTCTCCTAACTTGGAGACTCTCAGCAGCGAGGGAGGTATAAGAATACTCCTTCTACCAACAACCCCAAGTACTGTGAGAATACCTCTCAGGACATCTGAGGCAAAAACAGACAAGCTGATTCACTGAAATAACAGTTAGCTACTGTTATGGTCAGACTGTTGTAAGGTATGGAGGGGAGAACATCAGGAATGAATATAAAGCAAATCTAGTTTAGATGGAATTGCAGTCCAATAAGAGGGTGTAAGAAAAAAGTACAATAAATAATCAAAACTTTTTTTTTTTTGCTTTAAATTAACTTTCATTTTGACAAAGTGTAGTTGCAGAACAAGAGTCACTGAAGTACAATATATTAAACTGTGAAAAAAGGAAAACTGACAAAAACGTCTTCACAATCTTTAGATTAATATGGAAGATCATAATTTAACATAAAAGAAAATATATTCTATTGTTCATTATCCAGATAAATACAAAAAACAAAATTAACAAAAAATGCATATGATCACCAATAAATATGTTCTGATAAGTTAAATAAGCAGTGACAAGAAAACCTTCTGTCTGGAAAGTTTTTCAAATAATAACCGTAATAATAACAATAATAAAAAATAATTATCAAATAAAGAAAGCAAAAAGGATGTGATGAGTACAGAATGCTCCTCAGAGCAGGTTATAAAGTGGGGGGGAAGCTGAGTAAAATAGCTTGGAGATCCGATCTTGTCAAGTCGCAGGATGTACAACTGCACCATGGGAATGCTGGAATTCCCCAGATCGGTGAGGATGAAGGGGGGGGGGGGG